GCTGGATGCTGTATCTGCAGGACACTTGTGTTTGCAGCTATTACTGTGAACATGTTAGCATTGTCCATGTTTAACTGTGACCCAGTCTGCTAGCCCATGCATGCCCACGTGGAGAAGAGGAGCCTGCTTGGTATGTGTGTGTGTGTGTGTGTGTGTGTGTGTGTGTGTGTGTGGAGGAGAGAGGTATCATGCCCAGCAGGAGTTCTGAGCTTGCTCTGACTCAACCTGCATGGTTTTCCTTCTTACCTCATGTTCCTGGGCTTGTTGAGCCTCTACCAGCGGTGGGATGGAGCAGGTCATCGTTGTGTGATGTGCTGGCTTGCAGGAACCCTGGTGCTACAGCCAGTGTCCTTTGAGGCAGCCCAGGAAGCCATGGGCTTGTGATCTGGCTGGCTCAGGGGGGTTGCTGGGAGCCCTGCCACCCTTCCACGTGGCTGCTCCTCAGAGCCAAGGTGTGAGTGTCTCGGCTGCTGGTAGAAGGGCAGCATCTCTCTGCCTGTGGTTCCCTGTTGTTCTCAGTGTGCAGAGCTGTTGGGTGCGTCTGTGCCTGGCCGTTGAACCAAAGGACAGACCGAAGGACTGGATTGAACTGAAGGAGCAGCTGGCACTGTGGGGCTGGTCGGTACTCACCTAGGGAATGTGCTGGTGCCATGGTGTGGTTTCATCTCCTGCCTAGGCGCAGCACCAGGACACCAGGCTGCAATCCCTCCCTGGACCCTAAGCAGCCCCGTTGCGTGTTTCAAGGGATTATCATCTCTTACTGCCTCATTCCGATTCCTCTCCCCCAAACCAGCCCTGAGATGACAGGGTGGCCGCCTCTGACACTGGATACTGGCTGAGCTCATGGCCCTTCCAGCAGGTCCCATATGTAGGCCCTGGGTCGCTCCATCAGGTCCCACGTGCTTTTTAGATCCCTGATGGGAGACCAACCCTCCGAGCTGGTGAGCTGCCTGGTCCGCAGGGGTTGAGGGTCCCTGCCAGCGGCCCCCCAGCTCGGGGCAGGGGAGCGGCTGTTCTTTAATCCCATCTCTGCTCCGGCATCCCGGCATCCCGCTGCCAACAGAGCTCCCCTTGTTTACCCAACTCGGAGGAATCGGTTTACAAGGCTCACAAATACCCTTTTCACCTTTCCCATCAGAAAACACCTCCCGAAACAATGAGGAAATTGGATGCTGCCACCTGATCGCTCCCAGGGAACCTGCGGGGCCGGGAGCTGGGGACCGGGATGTGGCGATCGGGATGCCTGGCTGGGATGGGATGCTCTTCAGCAACCTGCACAGCTCTGCGGGTGGGCAGCCACAGGTGCCACCCAAAAATCACCTTGAGGGGTTTTAATTAATGAAGTTGCCCATAATAGAGCAGAGGCCAGTGTCCCCCCAACAGCACTGTTTGCTCAAATGAATGCTGTTTGCAGCAAGGGCAAAAATATAGTGTTTTTTAAACTTTAATAGGTTGTAGTTAGTCTTTTCCACCACCTTTGCCACTAGGAGAAAGAATGCTGAGATGTTATCTGTGAGCTGCTAATGGTAGTAGCACCAAGGCTAAATAAATAAAGCTGGAGCCACCATCCTCCTCCCAAGTGGAGGCACAGGTAGAAGCGGGTGCTGTGTGCAGTTGGGATGCTGAGTGCCTGCTCGTGGCCTTCCACAGCTAGGCTCCAGCACACACTGTGCACGATCAGCCTCAAAAGCACTTGGTCAGACTAGTTTTAGCATTAAGGTTGAGTTGAATTATGATTTTTCTTTGTTTCCCTCCCTGCTTTAAAACAGGGAAATCAAAACTGTAGTGTACGGAGGATAGAGCAGATTCTCCCCGCAGAATGACAGCACGTGCTCTGAGGCCATGATGAGTTTCACTCTTAATTTAAAAGGAGATCTATTCATTCTTCCCGGTTAAGATAAAACTGAAGATGTGTCCTTGTAAAGACAAGTCAAGAGTGATTCTTTTTTGCCTTCAACAATCCTTCTGGAGTAATATTTCTCATACCCAGAACTTGTCTGCTGTTCTTGTGATAAATGTTGCTTTGCGCCTTTTGTATTTTAAAGTATAATTTTGTGGAGGCCTGTCGCGTGATGGGAACTGGTGTCTGTCTTCCCTAGGATGGTCATCACAAGCTGTTGCTTGCAACAAAGCACAGTTGGGGGGGGGGGGGGGGAGAAATCTGGATGTGTGGTTGTGGTGAGGAGCTCAAAGAACAGTGAGAGGGGTTTGAATGCGTGCTCTTCAGGGGCTTATTTCCACCACTTGTGCTGCCTGGACTCTCTTCGTCTTCAGGGAAGAGAGGGAGGACACTAATGGGGAAACAGAGGAGAAGAAATCAGGGAAATAAGAGGGCAAAGGGTACAGAGTGTGTGTGGGCAGGAATGTGGTTGGCAAGGAGCAGCAGCTGGAGGGAGCACCCCCATAAGCCCCGTGCAGCACTGCATGTGGGGAAGGGCTGCTGCTTTGGCTGGTAGCTCAGTCTTGCTTGATGTTCGTGTAGGAGATCTGGAAAACGTTCCTGGGCTAATTCCCAGGCAGAAGCTGTGTGCTTCTGAAGCTGAAACCAAGCGTTCCTAGAAGAAATTAATCTTGTCATTTTACCCTTGAAACAAATAAAACAAACAGAGGCCTCCTCTGTGAATTCTCTAAGAGGAAGAGAAGTGCCAGCAGGATGTGGTGCTGGGATGTTCTCAGCTCCCTTGATTGCTTTATGGCCTCTCCTCTCATTAAAAATCAGCTTGACCCGATCCCAGACGGCCGTGCCGGCAGCACAGGCTGGTGTCACATGGACCGGTTGGTTTGCTGGTGTTGGCCAAGGCTTTGGCCAAGGAGATGTGATAGGTCCTTCTGGTATGAAGATGGGGGACAGATAGGAGCCTTCTCCTCTTGCTCCAGCGTTGCAAGACATCTGCTTGGCTTGTTTGTGGCTTCCTGTTTGGCATCTTCTGGGCAGGAGGGAGCTGGCAGGGGCTGGAGGAGGGAATTTGAGTCACTTGGGAGTTCTGTGCCAGAAAGCCTCTGACTCAGGCCAACCGTGGAGAAACGAGTGTGGGATCCAGCTGCCTCTCGGGGTGGGAACCCATGAGCGAGCGTGCAAGTGTTCACTTGCGCTGCATGTCTGCGGCCCGGCACGGGGTGGGGAGGCTGAGCAAGGGAAGGGAGGGGCAGGGGCTCCTTTGCATCTCCTGCTGCTCGGCTCCTGGGATTGCGTCAGGAATTGTGGGTGGGGGAAGCCTTTATCGCTCCCTCCCAAGGTTTGGAAGCGGTGCGCTGGCCGGGGGCCAGCTGACCTACTTGGTAGCGCTCAGGCAAAGCGTGGCTCACCTGCCGGCATTGCCGGGGACGGAGCCGTGGTGCAGCATCCCACCTGCACGGGCCCTGTGTGGATTACGTTTCCTGTTCTTCCATGAGGCTGCTGCATCCCTTCTTCCAGCAGTCATGACTTTAACACAACTTACTTGCTTCCCACAAGGTTGCATGGCAAAGGCACAGCCACTGCCATGGTGGTGCTGGGGTTGGGATGATCCCACAGTGATGCTTTGGGTACCGCAGGGAGGATGGGGCAGACAACCCTCTGGAATTCAGCTCCCGTGTTCAGAGCAGCGTCGGTGAAGGGGACTGTTCCCCTGTCCCTGTGCCTTGCCTCCTCTCCTGGGGCTGGGTGAGGGTGACCTGGTGAGCTGGCAGAAAGGTGCAGTTGATGTCTGTCTCTGTCCTGGCCATCCCTCCCTCCCCCTGCTAGAGCTGGCACCGGGCTCCGGAGCCCTTGCCAAGGGCATCGGGTTGTGCGTGGGCCCCAGCTCCGCCTGCTGCCTCCCAGCCCCATGGGTCGGCATGCGGATCTGCTGCGGCTCGGGCAGCCAGAGGCCTGGAGTCTGGGCTGCTCAGGCAATGGTTTCAGCTCTGTGGCTTCTTGCAAAGACTTGTACCAGAGCCACAGAGCAGGTTGGTCTTGTGTGTCTGATCTTCCTTCTGTGGTGCCTGCAGCCCCAGCCGGAGCAGCTTGATGGAGGGAGAAGGTGTCCTTGTCCCCCCATCTGACTGAAGGGGTGGGATGGGGCAGGGACCCAGCTGCGTCAGAGTGGGAAGGGAAAGCTGCCGACGTGCAGCCTGCTGAGGCACACGCTTCGGTTTTTGCTGTGCCCAAATTATGTGAGGGAGTTGCAGCGGAGATAACTTTGCAGGAGCATCCATTCCCACCTTATCTTCCATCAAGAATGCGTTATGTTGCCTACATCAAAGTAGATGATCTGCTGCTTCCCTCCTTGTTTCCCTAATACTCTACTTCACACTGAAAAAAAAATTATTCAGATTATTACCCCACAATAATGAAATCTGAATGCTAATTATCAGCATATTGCCTTCCTTCCCTTCGCAATGCCCTGCCTTCCAGCCCCAAATAGCTTTCCTCCCTCCTTGCTCCTCTCCATCCGGTCCTCCCACGCTCCTGGGCACGCCGTTGAGCCTGGCTTGGTAGAAGTTGTCCTGCAGGATGCTTCCCTCCCTTCCATTTAAGGACAGGAATTCCTCAGGGAGCTGGGGTGTGGAAGGGATCCCTCCCTGCGCCCCATTGTCAGGGCTTCTCCCCATGCCTAATTATTGCCTGTCCCTGCAGGAAGCTCCTTGCCTGGCCGTCGGGCAGAGCCGTGGCGTCTCCAGGCTGCCCGCTCTGCAGCCCTTTGTGGGAAGGCTCCATTCTCTTCTGGGTGCCAGGCTTGTGTCTGGGAAGGGTGCTCACCCTCATCATGGCAGGAGGGATGTGGAGTGGGGCTGAACCAATTGAGCCCATGGTTTTCTTGATGGGAGCCTTGCACTGGCTCCTTGCATGTGCAGAGGTGGTGAAGGAAGAAGAGAGCTTTATTTTGGTGTCAAAAGCCATTTTGCAGAGGGAAAACAGCAGTTTAAGCATGAAAGAAATGGTGCGAAAGCAGGGCTGTGCACGGGGTGGAACGGGCTGGTGTGACCACTGTGGCCTGTGCTAGAGCATGTGGCTAACCTCTTGCCCTCCTCTCTTCCAGGTTCATGACTGGGAAGGGGCTGGTCATCTACCCAGAGATTGGGGATAAACTGGACATTATCTGCCCCAAGGCGGAGCCGTCCAAGCCTTACGAGTACTACAAGTTGTACCTGGTGAAGAAGGACCAGGCAGATGCCTGCAGCACCGTCATGGACCCCAACGTGCTGGTGACGTGCAACCGGCCAGAGCAGGAGATCCGCTTCACCATCAAGTTTCAGGAGTTCAGCCCCAACTACATGGGCCTGGAATTCAAGCGGCAGCAGGATTACTTCATCACATGTGAGTCGCTCTCCTCTTCCTCGCCGCCGACCCTGGCTCGGGGGGGCTGCAGGGGTCTGGAGAGTGTCGCCAGGCGCTTGTTTGCGACTTGGCTGGTGCAGAGAGCTGACACGCATGGAAAATATTTCCAGCTGGATGGGAGAAGGGGTTGGAATGTGGCACTGACCGAACAGAACGGGTCATCGGCCCCTGTCTGGCTGCTCTGCTGTGTCCCTGGCCGTGCCCGCAGCCAGGAGCATGTCCCCCTGCCAGGTCAGTCCTGGCAAGGAGGGGCAACGTGTGTCTGGAGCACCTTCAAACCTGGAGCCTGTTGTCATCTTTGCTGGCGGTGTTGCAGGGCATTTCTTATAGGGCTTTGCCTTGGGGCTGGGGAGCTCCTGGTGCTGCACTTGGGATCAGGAGAAATGGTGAGCAAGGAGATGCCCACCCTCCTCACTGGTCCTGGCTCTGAGAGCAGCCCGGCAAGTGGGAAGCTGCCACCCAGTGCTTTCTGTGGTCTAAATGGCTGTAAAATTCTGCATCCTGGTGTCATCCTCTTGTTTTCTTGGTGCAACACATCTTTATGGAGGGGTGAGAGAAGAAGGGCTGAATTTTCTTGGAGACCATGGTCCATGAGTGCGGGGGGATGTATCTGCATGTGCTGGCTCTGTGTGGACAGAGTGTGGACTCTGGGCAGCTTGGCCATCCCTTGGCCCCCAGTCTGGCAGCGCTGGCCTCACTTTTCCCTGTTTGTCTTCTGCTCAAGCTCACTGTTACCCCTGTGAACCTGCAGTACAGCAGCCTGCAAAGGGCACGGTGGCTCATCTCTGCCCTCGCTATCACATGCCGCAGGCTCACTGGTGAGCAGCCCAGTGCAGAGGTCACATCCCGCATGGGAAGCGAGCACTGAGCCGTGGGAGCTGGTGCTTCTCAGTCAGTAAACAGTGTATTTTTAGCCTGAAATCCCTGCTCTCAGAGGAGGTGGTGAGGGTGTTAGCAGGCAGCTGGGGCAGGAGGTGCTCTGCCATAGTGTGATGACACAGTGATGCTGCCCGCCTGGATTTCCCCACCAAGCCCTCCCTGGGGCTGCCTGTAGTTTGGGGTATACCTGGTGCACTGAAAGTGCCAGGGCAGTGCTGAGCCCACCCTTGGTGGTGAATTTTGCTTAGTGCTACCTAACACATCGCTGAGCACAGGGTGGTGACGAAGGGGCTCTGGGCACCGCATGGCTATAGGAGGGGTGAGGACCTGGCACAAGAACCGGCTCAGCCTGCTCTGCATGGCCATGGTGCCGGCAGAGACCGCGGGCTGCACTGGATTGAGTCACGCCTTGGCAGGGCCGGTCTCTCCCAAGAGCTGCCATCTCTTGGTCACCTTCACTGTCAGGATTTGGGGCCATCTGCCTGGTGTCACTAAGGGGGCACAGGTGGGGTCACCAGATTTGGGGGTGCAGGGAACCCTGGCTGCAAGCTCAGGCGCCCTGGGGATGGGATTGGGATGCCAAAAGCCCCAGCACAGCTCCCCAGCAGACTCTCATCTCCTGTACCATGAGTAACCATGGCTGGCACCAGCCTGACAGCTCTGGAACCCCAAAAGGTCAGCCCTTCTGCTGTCCCTCAGCTGAGGCAAGGCTTGATTCAATGGCAAGCCTTCCCTGCGGTGGGCAGAGAGTGGGGAGAGGGGCTAAAAGCACAGCCGTGAATCTGCCTTTTGTGTGTCAGGCAAACATCTTCAAGCACTTGGTCAGCAGCTTCTCCGTGCTCGGGGGTCAAGTTCAAGCAGTGCCACGGTCATTGTGCTCATGAGGGCTGAAAGCGGGATCCCACGTCACGCCCCTTTGATAGATCCCATGAGACCCACAGGCTGCAAAGAGCCCCCATAGTCAAATACATTCCCCAGAACAAGCTCAGGAGCCTAACGAAGCACCGGGGAGGAGGAACGTGGGGTCCCTCGTCTTGCAATGCAAGTCTGTCAGGAAAGTGCAGGCAAAGGGATTTACCAGGTTCTGAATTGCACAAGTTTTAAGGAGCTGCTTTGCATTTCACACGAAAGCTCTTGCTTAAGTTAAATCAACCTCCCGTAGCTTTCGGTGGCATTTTCACAAGCGGCCGACGGCGTGCTGCCGAGTACAAACGCAGCTCCCCAAGGGCCCCCATGGCTTTGAGCCATTGCCAGCTCCCCTCCAACGCTGCCAGCACACCTGGGTCACTATTGCTCCGGCTCGCTGCAGCTCCGACGGGATGCTCAGCTGGGATTTTGCAAGCTGCACCGTGCCAGCTTTGCCAGCAGAGGTTTCGCCAAAGCTTTTAAACTCGTTGCGTGTTTGCCTAATCTTGTTTTACATGATTCTGCTACCAGTGATGGAATCTTCTCCAATATCTAGAAGCCTTCCCTCTATTTGTAATAGAATCCTGCTTTCTTCCCAGGGCAGGGAGAGCTCCCAAGAGACTACCATAAAATCCTATTTATCCTCTTGTTTCCCAGTCCCAGTCTCCAGTTGCAGCATCTCGGAGCCTGTATAGGACCGGAACAGGGATGCAGGGAGTGGGGTGCACAGAACATCCCTGTGGGGTGCCCCTCTCTCCTCGGGGAGCCGGCAGTGCCCTCTGCCCCCTCCTTGGACCGTTTCTGACTTTAATTTCTCTTGACTCCTCTGCACTTTGATGCGAGCCCCCTCGGCGCTGGGAGCGAGCGGCTGCTGCCAGCTGAACTTTGGCCCCTGGGTGGGCTGAGGATGCTCCTGTGATCTGGCCGTACCCCTCTGCCGAGCAGCCCCAGGAGCTCTTTCTGCCGAGAAAGAAAATAGCCAAAAAAACAAAGTCAAAAGTCTCCTGAGCAGACCACCCACGTGTTGTCTTTTTTTTTTTCATTCCCCCCCCCCCCTTTTTTTTTTCCCATTACTCCCCCCCCCCCCCCCTTTCCCCAAGCTTTGCCTTGACACACAAAAGGGTTTTTTCTTCCTTTTCATTTGCCGGCAGCCCTAAGCTGGGGAAGCGATGCTGCAGTGGACGGGAGCAGGGCAGCAGCGGGACGTGTGCTGCTTGGCCCCTGCTTTCCCCAAGCAGGGAAAACCTCCCTGCTGGAGCCAGGGGCTTCCCGGGGTCCCTCCCCATTCAGAGCTGCTCCTTGCTCCCGCCTTGGATATGCCAAGCCTTGTTTAAGGCCACTTTTATCACAGAGGGACATGGCCCCAGCCTTTGGCTTAGCAATGAAAAAGGCTTTTGAAAGCAAACGTAACCTCTCCCCGTCCTCTGCAGTTTCGTGCTGAGCCCCTCTGCCACTTAAAAGCATCTTTTTCCTCGGGGCTGGGCAGGGGAAGGTGATGCTTCTTCCTAAGCTGCTTCATAAAAAACAAGATGTGGCAGCTCCTGCTGCAGGTCTGTGCTGGAGACGGAGGCTTGCTTGGTGGAGGATGTGAGGCTGCAGCAGGACATGGGGCATCACGACCCTTGGCCCATGGAGAAGCTGGGAATTTGGGAATTAGGTGTTTTGCTCCATGGGTTCAGGGCAGCTCTTCGTTTCTGCTGTCCTCAGTCTCCTGTGGCTGCCTCCCTGCCTGCCCTTGGTGCCTGGTGGGGGTCTCCTGCCTCCTCCGTGCAGGACCATTGCACTCTATGGACAGAAGCATGTAGTGGTGGCTGTACTGTGGGAGGTGGTAAAATGCAATCCATCAGGAATTAATTCTTTTTACCCCAAAAGGAAGTACTTTTTTGGGGTTCCTTGGCCAAGCACATGGGTAAGGCTACTGGAAAGTTTGACAAGCAGGGTAGCTTGTACTTGCAGACCTCAGTGCAGATGCGATTGGTGCTGCTATTCCCTTGGGCTGGCAGCAGGGTGTGGGTCATTCATATGATCCTCATAGAGGCAGAAGGTGCTTCTGGCTCATTAGCAGATGTGTGGCTATTCCTCCCTTCATCCTTGCAGAGCTGGTAGAGAAGCTGAATGCTACGGAATGGCCAAAATGGAAGGGAAGAATGTGTCTGAGTGCTTACAAATAGTCCATCCAGTTGTATTTGGGGCTAGCAGGAGTTACAGGAAGGTGAAAACTGATGGCTGTTTTGTGACAGTGCTGTTCTAGATGTGGGTGGGGGTCCTGCTTTGTGCCTGCAGGTCACCTACCCCAGGCTTGAGAGCCTGACCGTGTCGATATTTGTTCTCAGCCTTGGTTTTTACCCATTTAGATGATTTTCTCTGCTTCCTTGGCTGTCTGTTTCCCACTCAAGTAGGCTTTCCCCCCTCTCTCCCTGGTGTCTGCACTCCTGGGATGCTCATGGGTGACTTCAACCCCACCAGGGCTTAGCCAGCCATGCAGGTTTGGCTCTTTCCACCTCCCCTCCTAATTCACTCCAGCTCTTAATTGCATTTGCTGCTACTCTTTGAACTTGCTCCAGTTTTCCTATCTCTGGTAATGAGGTGCCTAGATAGAGATGCATTAATCCTGGTGTCCTGGCAGCGGGGCGGCGTGAGGAGAAGCTCCCGGTGCAGCTCCCCAGCATTGCCACACAGGAGCTCTAGATGTGGCCCCATGTGCCGTGGCTGCTGCCAATGCCACAGGCAGGGAGCTACTGGGGTGACGTGTTTTTCAGCTGAGCACTGGCTTCATCCTTGGACATGATTCTCCAGTTCATTCTCCATTGGTGTTTGGGGGCAGTCCTGGCAGCCCTTTCTGTGTTGGATGGGGTGTGGGAGAGCAAAGACCTCCAAGCAAAGCCTTTGGGTGCTCTCCAGGCAGCTGTTTGCAGATGTGATGGGCAGCACCTTGGCCAGCCAGTGCTGTTGTATTTTTCCAGGGTGTTGTCTCTTCCCCATCCCTCTGCCGAATGCCTGGGCACAGCCATAGGATTACACCTCTCTTGGGAGCCTCTTTAAGGCAAGCAGACCTTGTTCGATGAAAATGCTGAAGTAAAAGCAAGGCCCCGGTAGATGTTTGCCCCATAAATCTGATACATTTGCTGTTTATTGTTAGTCTTTAAGCCCTTCAATCCATTTTTGATGTAATAATGTTCGTAATCCAATCTAAC